CTTCAAAAGGATTCACTGTAGCTTCAACATCGCTTTACTAAAGCTTCCTAAAATTTATTTTATTTTTACTAAGAAGTCTTAATTACTATTTATGGAAATTTGAGTTTGGGAAATTTGAAGTAATAATTGGAGGAAGTGAATCATTTATATTCATTCTACTAATGTCACGCTGTCAAAACAAGTTTTATAAAAGTGTCTGAATGAATTCACTAGAGCGTCATTGGTGCATCATTTTGGGTAATAGAAGAAAATATTAGCACATTGCATAATTTGTAAAGCTCCAAACATGTCATTTTGACTTTTGTCAAAATATGTTTCATAAAAGCATCACAAACGTTTCATTAGGGCTTCAATACTTATTCAAATATGAGAAATTGAATAAGAAAATTTGTACAAAAGAATGCAGGCTATGCAAAAGTCCAGTGCAGAACCAAAATATTATCATAACTTTAGATTCTATAAAAGGGAAGGAAATTTCATTGAAATGGAAAAACTTCCAACTTTGAAGGCAAGGAAATATGTTGAAAGAGTTGTGAGTATTGAAACAGATTATGTAATATAATCATTCAACGTTGTCATCTTTGCCAAACCAAAAGGCAAGCTAAAAACCTTGCACCTGACCATCGTACCACCGCCACGCACTATCCAATTGTTTATTTGTTTTGACATCAAAATTGATTTAAAGCCTAAAATATGAAGTAACTGTCACAAGGAGTTCGTATGATTTTTTTTGTGAAATTTTGTGATTTATTATGATTTTTGGAAGTTAAAGCATTGTAAAATAGTAATAAATGAAATATAATGACACATGGCAGCGTTTCATAGGTGTGTCATTAGAGTTTCCGATAGGTGTCAGTATCGCGTAACGCGCCACTCGTCATTAGAGCTTCATTCTTGTGTCTTTCCCTTTAAAAATTCACAAAAAATGAATACAAAATCCAAAAAATGTACCAAAAGCAATAAGGGGTGGAGGTAATGGATGTTATGGTGGTCATCCACATTCCATAGATTTATAACAACAAGGAGTTTTTAGAAATTTTTGGTACATTTTTTGGCTTTTGTATTCATTTTTTGTGAATTTTTTAAGGTAAAGACACAAGAATGAAGCTCTAATGACACGTGGCGCATTACGCGATACTGACACCTGTCCGAAACTCTGATGACACACCTATGAGGGTCAGATTCTAGTACAACAGAGTACAATAGATTCACTAAGAATTGCTTTTTCTGAGCCATTAGATTAAATCCAACGGTGTTCTCACATAGAGGTTCTCAAAAACAAGTCCCCACCAGAGAATAGCTCAATTGGACAATGGTTTAAAGTCGTCATGGGTGCGTGCGTCTAGATCTTTGAACACGTCAAAGGTGTTCAATGAGTTGTGAATATGACGCTGCATGGGGAATCAGTAAAGTATCTCTATCATGTCCAATCACATAAAATGATGGCGTACTTTTTCTGAAAAACCTCACACATCAGTCATAAGCATTTTAAAATATTACTGAATATTTTTCCTTGTCTATATGAGTGATTATATCTTCACTCTAATTTTTTTTTCTCAGTATATGTTTACTTTGAGGGATTCCACAAACATAGAGTATAAAGAAAGATAACAAAAGTAGCAGATGAACAAATACAAACAACAACATATAACTAGTACAAAATAATCTCATAACCTTGTCACAAAATTTCATGTATCCTTCAGATAGCAATGTTTACAAAATCGTGGACTATTGGAGTTTTTGTATTGCCAATGTATAGTCTCCTATTGCTCTAGTATTGGCACTATATAGCCTCCAATTGCCTTCATTTTGCCACTGCATTGCCCCCAATTGCCTTTATATTGCCACTGTATTACCCCGAATTGCCTTTGTATTACCATAAAAGGCAATAAATGGCTATACAAAGACAATGAACAATCAATACACAGTTAATAAGCTTGCAATAACAAGCAATAGACAAACAATATACATGTAATATATATGCAATATACACCGAATGTGTATCTTTTCTCAAAAAAGGATGTGATAGCCTTACATGTGCACCGTCAAAATTAAGAGTTGATAGGTCCAACTCTCATAAAAAACAGCCAAATTGATGAAGGTTCTCAATGACAACAATCTTCCATAAGCCAAAAATCTGGGTCCAACTGTCATTAAAAAAAAAGAGTCAAATATCTCAAGAGAGAGATTATTGAAAGGAAAGAAAAATCCTAAAACACCTAACATCAGAAAAATACAAAGGCAAAAGAAAGCAAGAAAGCAAGGCTCCAATAAATTAACACCACCAATCGAGAAACAAAAAAACTTTAGAGAAAACCAAAACCAATCAAGGAAAAAACACAAAAGCTGATACAAAACGAAACAACACAAAATAATAAGATTTCTTACTATTGAATCATATTTCAAAATGCTCACCAATATTGACGGAAAATGAGCTTCGTATAGTAGAAACATAAATCACTTGGTAGGTCCGTGCATGCTATCAAATTCATCGAATTACGGGTCACTAAGATTGATCGGAGTTGATTCTTCATTGTCTGACGGGGATGTCCTGCATAAACACCAAGCATAATATTACAATAAAATAAACCACTTTGAATTTTAGCTATTATTTATAAATATTTGTACAATCTTACGGTGTGTTCGCCATTCTTGGACATCGTCTTATATCATGACTAGTTTGTCCACACTGCTGACAATGTCGGATCCCTCGCTCCATTCCTTTTTCCTTTGCTCCCTTTACTCGTTTTGAGCTTCCTTTGTGCGTTACTCTCTTAGGGTCCTTCAAATATCGTGTTTGGGACCCTCCAACTTTGCTTGGACTGACCCCATCATTCAATAACTTCAATGTCACCCGCGTATCGTTTAGATTATTCGACAATAGCTCACAACCTTCTTCGGACATTAAAGCATGCTCAATTACATCTGAAGCAAGTATGGACATTCTACTTCGCTTTATTAGGAGAGAACTGTTCTCACAATCTTTAATTTCATTGCCATTTGAATCTGACACAAATCCAGATTTTGCAGTTTTCTTCCATCTATTCAAAATGTATTTATTGGGCAGATATTCAATTTGCTCTCTTTTTAACAATGCCAGTGCATGGCAGCAAAGAATCCCAATAAATTCAAATCCTTTACAGCTACACGACCATTGATCGAAATATTTATCATATACAACTTCTGTCACTCTTGTTTTCCCCCTTTTCCTTTCACTCACTTTATAGATAGCTTTGGAAGCATCATCCATTTTCAGTTCCATGAAACACGGTAAACTTTGCATTAGCTCCTGTTCAAACTTTTGGAACATTGCCTTTGTGTATATTTCAGCCATTTGTTTATCCATTGTCATCAATAGAGCACATTGAGGCTTTTCAAATGCATCAATGTGATCAGCAAGTAACTCATTTTGACGTTGATGGGAAAGTGCCCTTTGAAATCGTGTTATGAAATCCATTAATGAATTTCTCCTTGATATATATTGCTTGAAAAATGCATGAGAGCCTTCTGCTCTTTGACTACTTGACATTCCAGCAGCAAAAACATGTTTTACATAGGCTGGAACCCATGATTTTCGCAAATCAAAAACTGAACTTAGCCATGGATGGTCAGTCAAACCAGATTTTGTAACGATTGCATGCCACTTTTCTTCAAATTCATCTATATTGTAAATCTCCCAGATGGTTTCCTTAAAATCTTTCCAATATTCCTCATAAGCAATCCGTGGTAGTTTATCAGAGAACTTGGTTGTGATGTGCCATATGCAAAGTCGATGAAATGTAGTGGGGAATACTTCAAAAATCGCTCTAGCCATAGCTGCATCTTGATCTGTAATGATCATTTTTGGCTCACCACCTGGCATGGCTTTCTTAAACTCCTCAAACATCCAAATAAATGACTCAGTCGTTTCCTTACTTAAAAATGCACAAGCTAAAACAATAGTCTGACCATGGTTATTAACCCCCAACATTGGTGCAAATGGCAAGCCATATCGGTTCGTGTTGAATGTGGTATCGAGCACAACAACATCTCCATAAAACCCGTATGCTCGTCTAGAAGTTGCATCTGCCCAAAAACATCGAGTAAGCCTGTCATTGGAATCTCCCTCAATCTTGAAATAAAATGATCTATTGTTTTTCTGTTCAGCTAAAAAATACTCAGTCACCAGTTCAACATCATGGTTCTTCATTAGGCTACTTTCATAATATTCAAAATTGTAAATATCCTTTTTGGTAAAACCAATTTTCTCCATTCCTCCAGATTGCACCTCCAAAATACTCATCTTTTTATGAGTAGGTATATCAGCTGAACCGAGTTGTTTTGTGAGTAGCTTTGCAGGTTCTGAAATATGACGGTGTGATCTCATAAAATGCACTCTTTCTTGGGGTGTCATCGTATGATTGTGTCCCTCTACAACGAGAGAGAAAGCATACTGTTTGCACCCAGAAACCTTCACAACAACAACCCTAGCCTTGCAACCACATCTACTTACCCCTCGGTGTCTTTTTATCACCCTAGGCTCTTCTTTTTTAAACACACCTTGTTTGCAACATACAAATTCTTTTCTTAGAATTTCTTTACTGTATTTTTCCCTCCCGCTGGAATGGCGTCGAATACTAAAGCCAGCCAATAACGCATATCTATTGTAGAAATCATAAACGGAATCAAGTGAATCGAACTTCATCCCGACTTTTGGTCTTTCCTCGTTTCTGACTTCAGGTATGTAAATCATTTCATCAATGATTACACAATCATCATTCTCCTCTGAGTCCCCAACCATTTTACTCACATAGATTATTGATACCTTCCATAACATTTGAATCAAACATTTCAGAAATAGCTAAAACAAAACAAAATAATTATGAAAGCAATTTAAATTTTGTACCATCATCAGTTGAAAACAAAGACATTTATAATGATTTTCTAAAAAAAAAACTTACCAGCAACAAATCCAAGAATTTGAATGCAACTCCCCTATGTTATGGAGCAAAATTGATACTTGCGTTTTTTGCTTTCCTTTTATTGTCTCCTCTATGTTGATTCAATCAAACTTTTCTATGAGAGCACATATAGAAAATTAAGATGCAAACTTGTGTCAACCTGTAGCAGATTATCAATTATTAAAAAGCCATAAAATAAATTGAGGTAAGACAAACCCAAGATATTTTTAGAGAACTTATTTTTACTGTATGTATGCAAGACCCATAAAGATCACCATTAGATTAACGTGTTGTTATTTTCATTATTTATTAAGTATTGATTCAACAAAGCTTAAAGCCAATATACTAAAGGCATCATAATAAAACCCAAAGCAGTAAGGGGTTAAACGCAAGAAAGAATATTTATGTATGAAAATAAAATAAAATTGTAAAAATCAATTTTTCAAATGAAATATAAATACAAAAGAGAACAAAAAATAATAATAATTACAAGAAATTGGAAAACATTAAAAGCAAAATCAGTGAAACAAAGAAACAAAGAGAAGTGGTTTTGGAGTGTTTGACTTACCATCGCAGTTGGAGTTGAAGAAGAGTACTGCAAGTTATTGAAAACTTGGGTTTTACTTGTTCAGAAATGGAGGCTCTTTCAACATATCATGTTTCTCTTTTTCTTCTTTTCTCTCTACTATGAAGATCTTGCAAATAATTTTTGTGATACAAAGACAAAATAAGAGAGCTCTCAAGTTATAGTTGTTGTAATGGGTAATGATGAACCATTTTCTGCAACATTAATGACAGGGGTTTAACAAAACAGAATATTTTTTGAATAAAAGAGTTTGCAATAAGGCTGAAAAATCACATACCAGTGAAAGAATTGAGTTGTGGGCTTCAACCATTGTTCCTCCTCCTTCAGCAACATCCTCCACAGCTGAGTGTCTTCGTTTTTTTTCTTTTTGGAGCAGCAAATTCACTTTCTGGAAGTTGGAAAGGGGCAGCTCTTGTTTGTCTCCAGAGGAAGTTTCAGACCTAAGACTTTTGACCTCTATTTCAAAGAAAAGAGAAGAGATGAGAGAGAAGTTCTGGGTTGCTCATTTTGTGATGGGTAATTTTAACCCGGTTGTAACAAAACTTCCTACTTAAATCTGAACCGTTCATTTGAAACTGACGGTTGTTATCATCCTGCACATAACCTCCTCATATTAGCCTCTGCATTCTAGCAGCTCCCCAACCACATCCAAACATTACAATCAGGACAACGCAACCTTTGTCCTGAAGTCCAAACCAATAGCCGTAACACAAATTTCACCCACCAGTTAAACATATTCAGCAATTGGTTAGGATAAAGTTCAAGTAATATAATATAGAAGGTCAAAAAGAATGATTTTTTTTTGGAGATTCACTTTTATACCCAATATAGGGGCCCAAATTATAAATTTTTTAAAAAAACCTATATAAAATAGACTTTAGAAACACACCCAAAACTCATGTACAACATAACAAAGAGGCTTTTAACTTCTTATAAATTACAAAACTGCCATCAATTTCTTAAAATAAGCCCGACCCCAAAACCTCATAAAAATACCCAAAACACTCACTAGGGCATCACAATAACTTAATAATCAAAATTAAATTCATTAGGGCCAACTGTCATTTTTTGGGTTTATTTATAGAAATTAAATGGTGTAGGGTTTATTTATATTATTAGTGCTAAGAATGGATATATGATTAAATATCTCTTATCTTTTCATATAGAAAAAAAATTAAATGTAAAGTGTTGTATACAAATAATTCTAGCTAAGTTAGGCCATGGGATGTCTCCTTCTCATCTTTGGGAATTTGGTCTCCCTTTTTTCGTCGCTTCTGCTTTTTATTTCGACATCTCTTGGGCATTCGTGTTTTAGAGATTTTGGTTTGCAATCTTATTTTTCATTAAAAAAAAAATCATAAAAGTATACTAAATTAGTCAATTAACATTTGATCTTGTCGTAGGAGATCTTGAATTTAAATTCCATAAAGTCACAAGTAGTATGTCATATTATTGAGAGATTATGTGAATACAATGATGGATTCTTCTAAAAATCGCACATTTTGGGTTTTTTTGACAACCATGCTTGTTAGTATATATCCTCGACTGTGTGCTTATTTTTGGGCTCTGATTGTATTAAAGGGCCGTTGCAATTCAAATATCCCTCTTTTTTCAAAAAAATAAAATTATAATATGAAAAAGGGTTCTTTCTTCACCTATTAAATTGTTTTTTGGACAGCTCTTTTTTTATGTTGTGTGTTTACTTTTGGAATAAAATTAAATTTAAGGAATTTCAATTTTTTAAGGTTAAATTGTTCAAAAAATTAAATTATGACGTTATTTAAAAAGATTAATGAAGAAAAGTTTTCCATAAAAAAAAAATTAGACTTAAACCATTCTTAAACAATTTAATAAAGTTGCAGACTTAAAATTTAAGTCCGGAGGGTTGTGAGAAAAAAAAATTTGAGTCCAGGCAAAACCCAAATAGTCACTTTTTGGAGGGGGAAAATTTGGGTTTAGCCCCTCGTGGGTTGGAGAAGGCCTAAGGAACCGGGTTTCCATTGTGAGAAATTGACTATCGAGCAATAACTTTTTTAAAATTTTTAAAATTTTAAAGTTTAAGTTTTTTAAAAATGTTTTTGTACTGATTTAAAATATATATTAAAGGGAGTTGGCCAGTTAGTTCATGGGTGGGTCTCACATTGGCCACGTCAGCAGTTAACGGTTGACCAAACGGTCAACTTAACGAAGGGCTTAAATTAGTCAGGTTTTAAAATATTGGGTTATAAATTGATGAAATTGAAACCACGGGACCCATATTGAGAATGACTCCAAAACTTTAGGGGGTCTTTTGTCGTTAGCCCAATAATTTTTGTATAGGACATGTAGAAATATTTTATTTTTATTTTAAAAAACTAGTTGAGTAAGTTGGAGAGGTCCAAACCACATATCCTATGTATATTGGATGGTACACCAGCCCGGAACATACAAAAATTTCTCCTTAAGATGGGAGAGAAACGGATGAGAGAGAGGTGTATCCCACATTAAAAATCCCCTTAAATTCCTAGTTCTAGAAGTCATTCACATTTGGTGTTCTAAATTTTAAGTGGAATATTTGGGCCACATTTAGATCCATTTACTAAAAATAAACCCAAACAATATGATTTGAATTTGGACCTCTCAAATCTAATCCCTTAGAACTTAAGGCCTCATTTGGTGGTCCGGCTAATTGAATTGGAGTTGAGTTCAATTGAGTCCTTATGAGTCCCACCTCTTAGGTGGGGTGAGACTGTTATCCAATTTCATAAGTCCAGTCACTTCGCACCAAACGACGATTGTGATGCTCAATTAGCACCAAGGTGCCCAATTCGTTATATTAATATGAGTTATTTACACTAACACCCTATCGGGTTTTCAGCTTTTTCACAAAACCCTCCTGAGGTTTCAGAAATTATACGAACACCTCATGAGGTTTTAAATTCTTTTCACAAAACTCATTTTCGTTGATTCTTCATTCAAAGATTGATGATTTTATATATATCCAAATGACAAAGTTAGCCTTTGACATTTGTAGGGGCTTTCTCTTTCCGACAGCTGCAGATTGAGCTGGGCTGCTGTAAAGAGCCTAATGTGTGAAAGTACCCCTTGTGTCTGAGTTCAAGAACTAGGCTCCAAGAATATTTCGAAAGGGGAGTGGAACCTTAGGAAATACCCTGGTTGTCTTCACCAACAAAAATGACAATGGCTTACAGGTAGATCTTTAGCTTGGCATGAAGAGCTTGTGGCATGGAAGCAAAGTGGTCATGAGTTTAGCACTTAAAGAGAGAGAGCTGTGAGTTCCTATGAGAGACAAGGGATATAAGGGAAAGATGAAGGGATTCTAAGAAGGTTTGATGAAGAAGGAGAAAGATGGGGAAGATGAAGGGATTCTAAGAAGGTTTGATGAAAAGGGAGAAAGATGGGGAAGAATGATGGGTGGCTTAAGTAATTTCCGGCAGTTTGAGAAAACTTTGTCAAGCTCTGGAACAGCTTGCCAGAGGAGGCCAGAGGAGAAAATGGGAGGAGATTGAGGAATAGGGCACGAAATTGCTGGGTTTCAGAGATGAGAGATGATGCTTGCTCTCTGGATGTGGGTGTCTGTTGTTGGGTAGAAGATGCCTTATTTATAGCCGCTGGAAGCTCCTCCTTTCCAAGAAACCCTAATGGTTTCTATCTAATTTGGCCAAGCTTTTCCCTTCCTTTCTTCTCTCTCCCTTTGACTTATCTTATTCTGGTAAAATCCTCTCTGCCCAATCACACAAAAACATGGATTTTTGG